TCTGGAACATTTCCAATTTTTTCTGCTGGCACTAAAAAAATATGGTAGCAACAACAACAAAAGCTTCTGTAAAAATCATTTGAAAATTGCTAGAAACCTGAATCATAATCTTGTTGGTGTGGTATTACTGATGTCTCACACTCTTTAAAATAGAAATTTCTGTTGAAATTTAAAATTACCTTCCATACGTCCGGTACAATCACCCTCTTTTGTTCAGTGATATGAAGGCTAGTAAGACTTGAATCTAAACTACAGGTGATATAGACATGTCTTTGTTTTCACATTAACATTTCTTCTTAAGCGATGCTCCCTTTTTAGTCCTTGAACATGAAGGTCACTTAAAATGTCCTTATTGTTTGTAATAACTTTTAGAAAAATCCATATGTTGTTTAATAGCAGCAGGCTTTCTACACAGGAAGTACTTGATAAGGTTTCCTTGGGAGCCTATTGTCTTCAGATCATTGTACTATATTCCCATTGCCTCTGCAAGTTCAGTTCTTCCTTTGCTTGTGCTTCCTCCATTTTTTTTTTTTTTAATCATTTGGCTACACAGAGCTGTCTCATGTCATTCTTTGCATACATCATCACTGTTTTTTCTCCTTGCCTGCATAATGGCCCAGCTTTTCTGAGAGTCGCTGTTGTCCAGAGTGTGATCCTTTACTAAAATGGGGATTGAATGAAGGTGGAGCTCAAATTATCTAGGAGCAAAGGAAAACCAGGCATTTGAAAACGACCTAGAAAGGAACGAGTAATGAACCAGAGTGGCCTCAATGAATTGCTGTAGAGGGAATTCTCAGTTTTGACACAAAAGGAATGCCTGGATACCAAGGAAAACCTAGGGGGAGAATCTCGGTACGAAGCCTGCCTCATCGGCTGGTCAGCCCGGAGGGCTGAAGCCAGTAGCTCTCCAGATAGGAACAGAAACACACGTATTTTATGAGTAACAGTTAAGCATTCAAACATGCTGTTTTGGAACACAAGGTACTTTGAGGAGTTGACATCCCTTCGTAATTCATGTTCATTGTTCCTCTAAGTAAAATGTGTCTCCCTTTAGTTATTCTGCTAGGAATTGTACTTTAAAGGCAAGAGGACATTTTTGATAATGCACATCTTAAACTTTTCATTAAACTACCAAATTTAAATTCTACCTTTTTGTGCACTCTGACATTTTTGTCTGGCATTTTCATTAATTTTGCGACATACATAAATGTAGCTGAAATGTTAACTGATCAATACTTTGTCTCTCTCATGTAGCACTAGCGTTCCATTCCCTAAGGACCACACAGCAGAACAGAAATTAAATGTGTAAAATATCAAATGTTAATGTTAAACACAGCGGCACTTACTGTATAACGACAGAAAAGGCTAAAACAATTCCAAATGGACAGATGGTACCACAAATTATCTACAATCCCATTTAAGGATTAAAGTTTGTCCTGTAAAATAATTCTTTGACGCACACTGAAGTGTGTCCTTTTTACTGATAGCCCGGTTGTCCAATTATTTTTGTGCTCATTACAGTGAGAAATGACAGTACTGAAAAGAAAGAGAGAATGTACACTTTTTTTTTTCCATGTTGCACCCACTGACATCCACAAGAACACAAATGTCTAGTCAAGAGCCTGATGAAAATTAGGCCCAATTTATGAGACACTTCCACGTCTACAATAGATGAATCCCAAAGACAAGCGGTTGTGCATTCCACATCACATACGTCTGTGTTTGCTCTTAAGCATACAATATTCATAGTAAAATTTAGAAACCTAATTCATAGCACACAACAATAAGGACATTCATTGCCGGGAATGTGTTTGCTTATATTTCATCCATCACCTTCCAGGCCGATTTCCGCTTCTAATACTGTAAGCCAGCTTTGAACCTTCCACAGAGCACATAGGTAGCACATAAAGAAGCCAGGGCAGCTCTCCCCCTGCATTTCACATACTCTCCATTTTAACTGACATAGGGACAAAATTATTGTTTATCCATTTTAATTTCATTATTCTACATTTATTTTTGGATAGTAAGTTAGAAAAGAAAAATAAAATGGAATAGAAAAAAGGCACTTAAACATAAAGTTTACTGATCTGGGCCTAAAACCAAGCGGCATAATGGTACAAATGCATGTGCTCCATGTGAGGCAGCTGCATTTATGAAAAAGTGGGCCAAGTGGAACCAATATTATAATAATAGATCCGTGATCCATCAACAGGGAATGATGGGAACAATATGTTTCTAACAATGGGGTGCTGCTCATAGCTTCTCCTAATGGAAAGCAGTTCTTTTCAAAAAACTGGCCTAAAAAAGGCTCTGGTTATGCAATAAGATCTTTGAAACATTTCATTTTTAAATACATCATTGAATATCTATAAGATGAATAAAAATCCTACAACAGTTCTTTTTTCCCAAATCGTTATGATATTAAGATTACGAGGTACATAATTTAAAAGCTCTTTTGAAAAGGAAATAATATCCATGTGGCTTGGGGCAAGGTACTTAACTTGTCTGTGCCTCAGCTTCTCCCTCTGTGTATCAGGAAAATAATAGTATCTACCTCATAATAAGGTTGTTGGGATTATTAAATTTATTAATGCATGAAAAGCACTTTCCTGCTTTAGTGCCTGAAAAACAGTTCTTTGGCACATAGATATGTAATAAATGTTAGTTGTTATTATTACTATATAAGGATCTTTTTGTATCAGAATTTAATCTGAGACTAAAATAGATGACTGAGAGAGGATTATGAAATAGTTTAGAATTCAAATGGAAGGTACAGGAAAAATGGCTACAAAGCATTAAGCTATGTCTATCATCATTTAATAGCTAGCTTTATTAGAGCAAACCCTTATTTATATGGTATCATTGAAGAAAGTTTCTCCACATAAGAAAAAAATTTCAGACTGACTGACTGGATCATTGGTTGGTCTATCGATTTAGATAGTCATTTATATTGGGAGCCTACTAACGCTAGATACTCTGCAGGCGATGCTAGAGTCCCAGGTGAAAAAGGCAGGGTCCCCATTCTCCTGGAACTCCTAGTTCAGGTCCAGATAAATGAAGCTGGCTTTTGTTTTCATTGTTTTAATAACATTCAATGGAATGTAATTCAGTGCTTCTTTTATTTTTTTCAATAAAACCATTAATATTGTTGTTTCTTCTCAAAAGTACTGTTAATGTGCATTCACATTGTAGTTTTTGGTCTCTTTTTTCACCATCAGTGTCAGGAGTCCCTTTTCCTACCTTTATTGTGGCCTCCCCCGCCCCCCTTATTTTGAAAGCATCTTTCATTCAGCTTGTGTTTTGTAGGACCCAGTCTGTTAGAAACTGACCACCAGCTAAGAGAGAGAATAGTACATTTCTTCCCCAGTGAATTTTGCCTCCCTTTCAGTGAAATTACTCAAGTACCATCATGTACATGTAGCTAAGTTTCTCAGAGTTTCACTGCCTGGTTTATTTTTCAATCAGAAAGAAATTGTGAAAAAAAGTCTGCCATCTTGAATTCATTTTACGTGAGTGACCTCTAGAAGCCAGATGAAGTTTATGAAGACTTACACACATTGTAATGCTAAATTGCTCAAAATGAAGGTTCCTGAACAAATGATATAATTATATAGGTTTCTCTGTTTTCAGATTTCACATATAGCTGTGAGGAATGACTTTGGGAGGAGTGAATCAAAGATGGCAGCATGACATTTTCAGTAGAATATTATTGTGTCTCCTAAAAGGCCCCTGGAACCTGGAAGTAATGGCATAAAATACACACAGAAACTCAATACCATTTTTTCCTCATTAACATCAAAGTGCCTCTATGATGCTGAAAAATAATAATAAAGTTTGTTTAACAGTACTCCAATGTATTTATTATGTGAAAGAGCTAAATACAAGAATATTGAAAGAGGCAGATTTTCTTTTCTAAAACTTAATGATGACAGTCACTTTCTTTAAGGAGACAACGACATGTCTATGGGAAGCAGGCTGCTTAACTTTCTGGTAACTCACAACACAAAGGGACATATACACTCTTTGTTCCATGTGCTCAGACATTAATGAAAGTCCCATACAAGGCCTGAGAGGAGGACAGAGCTCAAAGTACTAAACAGATGTGCATACACTCATTTGAATGGTAATACTAAAATGTTGATTTGTTACTATAATTAAAACTCTTCTTGTAAGCCCCTTATAATAAAGTCATATTCTGAGAAACCGGTAACTATAAGGAAGCATAAGGTACCCATATTCTAACAAATATGACAATAAAATAAAAGATTTCAAAAGAACGACTCCACTTAAACTTCAAACCGAAACCCTGAATAAGCAAAAATAATGTGAGAGCAGAAAATCCCAGCTGAAGCTCAGAGGAAAGTATTCTTTCAGATTTTCTAGCTTTGCAAGTTGGTCTCATCAGCAGTTTTTAAATAACCAAAGTAAAAGGCTACAAGATGAACACTGTCAGAGGACTATTTGGATCTATCAAACTCTCACTCATGCGTTTTTAAAAGCTGGAAATCTCAGAAATACTAAAATGTGCCTTAAATAGGTCACATCCACTTCCAACTGATTCACATATTAAAGTATTACCAACTAGCATGCTACTGCCAAAGATTTTCATATTTTGAAAGAATATCTACAGGACAAATAAAATTAAAATGAAGATGGTCAAGATTATTATTATTTTTTAATGCTAAGGACTTTTCTTGGCTCTGCTATTGGGATTTGGAATTATGCAATATGTAAGGTTTTACATTTTAACCGTTCCAGAGAAAATTATACATTGGCTGAGATGTCTTATATTCCGGAAATCTGAGGCGGGGATGTATTCTTGGACTCAGACCCTGAACAATCCATCAGGTTCCTGCCCACGGCAAATCTGCCCAGTCAAGTCTCAAAATAGAAGTTTAAAATGGCCACATCAACATAACTGTAACTATTGCCACAGAAACATGCAGCTATGATTACTGAATTTAATGAATAATAATGTAAGTAATACAGTATGATCATACCACAAAAGCAGCGAGGCTCCTTGCGGGTGAATCCCAGTCAAAGCAACTATTAATGTAGTATGCAGCATTTACGAGCACCATGACACAACGCTTCATTCTGATAAAGTTTCTTAGTAGCAGCTATAGGAAAATGAAAGTATTATTAGAATTTGCAAGACTAAAACCCATCAGATATGCTACAAAATTCTTCAAGTTTAGTGTGATTTAAAATGGATTCAGAAAGTTAATAAAGTTGTAAGAATATACCAAGCAATTTGGCTCACAATTTAGAAGAAAAGAAGTATCTCTAAGAAGGTGAAAAGAACTAAATTATAAGTGCAATTTCTTAGTTAAATATATTTGCATAAATAATGCTATCATGCAAATTGGGCTACCTCTATTCAAAAGAAAACAACAATCTCCAACAGCTCAAAAACATTTTTTTGCCACTTAGAATACTGGGAACCTTAAATATATTTAAGGGTTCTGAAGTCCTGTGCTTTTAAAATGCTTTAATTTCAAGATATTTCAAAGTGAAATGGATAACTGGGGATGGTTTTATTTAGGGCCTTAGGGAAAAACCTGTCAAGTACTGCTTTATTATAGAAAAGTAACATTTTTTTCACCATTTCAGTAGGATTCTCCCTTTCTTACTATCATAGTCTCATTCTCTCTCTCTCTTTTCCCTCTTCGTCTCTCTATCTCCCTCCTTCCCACAATAAATTTCACCCACATTTTCTCATTACTTTTTCATAATTTTGGATTTAGGGAAAAATGTATGACAAGTACTTTACAAAATCTGTTACTAAAAAAGGTATATGACAAACTATTATATACAAAATAAGCTACAAAGATATATCGTACTACACAAGGAATATAGTCAATATTTTATAATAACGACAAATGGAACAAACCTTTAAAAATTGGGAATCACTATACTGTACACTTGTAACATATAGTACTGTACATCAACTACACCTCAATTAAAAAAAAAAGAGATAGAAAAGCTACAGATATTGAACAAGAAAAAAAAGTACATGAGAATTGAAATAATTTAAATTAAAAAATTTAAATTAAGGCATGACTGCAGCTGTAAGAAAAACAGCCCATGCTCTAGATATAGGTTCAAAAAATTACATACAGCTATGTTAATAATTAGAGTAATATGTCTGCAGGTTAATATTTTGCTACTTCCAAGTACACTTCAAGGCCGATCTGGTATTTTAAAGGAGCTATGTAAAGTTAACCGGGGTCATATAGAAAAAATAACGTATATATGTGTACACATAGATGCACATACATGCATACCAGTTTAAACAAGTTAAAATTTCTTTCAGGGAAAGTAAAAAGTGTCTCTATTTGTTTCCTTCTTGGCCCCTGATCACCTTACTTTAAGTGCTACTTTTATAACTTTTAACTATAACTGTGGAAATATGTAATCTGTATTTCTGTTCAGATAGGTATTACATTTGTAACTCATGCATTGTCTTTAAACAACTAAAGATTGCACTGTTTATGGTGAAGTGATTGGATTAAACCCAAAATATTTTTGGTCTTCTAATAGCACAGGAAATTATTAAAGATTTTAACACGCACAAATGAGTTCTGTAAACTTTATAACCTCAAATACATTTGATTATAGCTGTGTTATTTGGAAGTAAACAATTTTTAAAAGGAGTAGCTTAATACTCTTTTCTTGTTATCAAATTGAGTTTAAAACTACAAGTCTAATTACGAGATATCAAGCATAATTTAAAATTTCTTCATGATATAAAAATCAGGGTTCCTGATTTTCTATTTTCTTAGCTAAAAATGCCAATAATAGTTCACTTCTAAAAGATCATAGTTAAAATCTAATTAAGAAGAAGGCTTCCCTTAAAAGATAGAGCCCCCTCTCCCGTGGATTAGAGGGAAGAACTTTATACTGGGCTCACTTTACAGACACCTGCATCATACCTGTGGGTGGTCTGGACATATATTTGAACCTCAGCTTTTGGTGTTCTCATTTACACATTCCATGGCAATCAAATTGTATTTTATGTTCAAAATGATCATTCTTCTGCTAACGCATGAATACATATCCATTCTATGCAGAGCCTACAGTATCCCCTTTCCTTTCTGACCACCCCCATCCAACTTACTAGTTTGGTATTGTCCTTGTTTGATCTTTTAAGGAAAGGAAGGGAAAAGAGAAAAAGAAAGAAGAAAAGAAAGAGCCATTTCACATCAGTAGGTGATCAAAAATTCCATAGTCTTCCCCCCTCCTTACCTCCAAAGTTTATTTGAATTTACATAGATGTTTTACAGATATAATCAAGTCTTCCCAGAGGGATTAATCTTTCCTTGCTTTTTACCTGTTTAGAGAGTCTGTTTTCCTCTTCAATGTACTTCTGTTCTTTGGGTATTAATGTTCGTAAGCTGGCTTTCACCTATACATCAACATATGTGTCTGTTATGGATTAATATAGTACAAATGTTTACAAGTTTTTCACGCAGTTCAATTTGCAATAATTTCGAAAGTTTCAAAGTCCTGGCTGCTGTGCTCATAAAATATAAATGTATACAGTTGCACATGCATGCGCTTCCATTTCTGACGCCGGCAGGCAGCGACCAGAGCACAGCCACAGCGGCAGCCGCCAGCTATAACAGAAAGTGTGGGTGTGCCAGGCAGTGGCAGAAGCGTATTCTCCAGGATACATCAAGGTTTAGAGAAAATGAGGAATGACAGAAATTCTCTACAAATCAGGAACAAAAGCTTTCATGAAACTGAACTCTTTAGCAGTACAAAAAAGCCAAAGTTAAGACTTACAGCATTAAAAATCACATCTATTTCAAGATAGATGACCCCCTTTGTTGGCCCTGTCAGCTGCTTGTTTTTCAAGACGTAGGCTTTCTGTTCACCATTTTGAATCTGCGGGAAAAGGACATGACAGCCGTCTGTCTCGCGGTCTCCACTGAATACACTCCCTCAGTGACCTTTGACCCCCAGCTGCTGAAACTGACAGAGAACCCAAAACAACTGTGGCAATTCTGACAAGTACCTGTTCATTACCAGGATCAAGTCTGTCAGGAAAAATTAACTATCATGGGATTCAACATGGCCGTGCATTGAGTATGTTAAAATTTTTAGTGTTCTTATTACAGACCTTGGTTGAGAAATGACAGATATAGAGCTGAGGGTTTTTTTTTTTTTCCTTGAGCAAAAGCAACACAGAGCAGTGTGTCAGGTGAATGAAACTTACGGACAGCAATGGTATAGCAACTTTGCCCAGAAAGTCAGCACTTCGATCCCGATCTTCATCATAAACTGTCACTTCAAGAACTGAATGGATATCTTTAATGTTGCTGCATAATAAATATATGTAAAGAAAAAAAGACTTCATCAGTGGGGAACAAGAACACAAATGCGTTTGAAAATTTAGATAGCTCCAGCTGATTTGGTATATATATGTTTTATGTATACCATTTGCATACACATACATAAGGTAGCTTGGTATCTGACAGAATTTCCCACAATGCACCTTAGTAGACATGATGGTTCTATTATCTGGAACTTTGAATACAACTGGAACTTTAAGTTATAATTTTTCAATAAAATATAATTTCCATCTGGATGGGCAAAGAATAAGTTATTGTAAAAAAAATCAATAAGTGGCACTTATTTTTTTTTTAGACTTGTCCTATTCTCATTATTACAATAATTCCCATCTTCTTGTTACTCCCACATGAAGCACTACCAGGTTTGATTTCAGCAAGAGTCACAGTATAGTTTATATAATTTTTCTTTTTTATCATAATAGAATATCTCCTTTATCTTTATAGCTCTCACCAAAACTCTGACTTACTTCTGTTTGGTTTATAGTAAAAATTAACCAACACAGACTATAGAATGAAGAAAATGTAACATTGATAGCTATTGTACCACCCTAGGATTTAGAAATTAAGTAGTGTTCCATTATGTTCCAAAGACAACATATGTTAATAAACAAGTATGCAAGCTCTTCATATTTTGTTTCTAGAAAAATAAGCCCCAATTGTTGACAGCATTTATTCTTTGATCAAACTGTTTACCAAGAAAACATGAATTAAGAGAAAACAAAAAATGAATATATTCATTACTGAAAGACTGCAACTACATGTGAGAAAAGGCTTTATCAGAGCACAATCAATTAATGGCTTTGATAATTATCAAACCTATTCATTCAATTATGCATTCCAGAGAAAAACACTCTCCACAACCTTCTTAGGAGTGCAAGTCTCCTGACCAGGCTTTCATCTCTTATAAAAATGTGAAATTCCTTAAAGATAAATTGGTCAGATAATTAAACCTGATTAGTTACTGGCTCTTAAGCAAGGACATTATAAGAAATTAATGAGGAATTTAGCAGTTTCTCATATACGAAAATAAAACAGTTTCTCATATACGAAAATAAAATAAAACTATGTTAGAAAACTTAAGAAGTACTTCTGTTTGGAGAGTTTTTCTTTGTTCAGAGTTCATTTCTAAAGCCCAGCTTAAAAAAAAAAACAAAAACAACCACGGATTTAGGAGATACTATAGTGTAGCATCGGCAGCTTTTACAGTGCATGATCGAAAAGATTTACAAACTTTTTAAAACAAAAAGAAAATTAACTCAAAGTGTTTTCTGGTACATAGGACAGTACTTAATATTCTTATTGTGCTAAAACGCAACAAACCAAAACTAAAACATCTGCCGAATCCGAGACTGAATTGTTTGCTGATTTGAGCAATGGAACAAATAGAGCTTTGTCCTCCTTGGTGTCAGTGCAATTGGGGAGAATTTCAATAGAAAGTATAAAAGGAAGAAGCAGTACGGCAATTCAGTTAATGGGAGCAAAATCCTTCATCAAATCATATATAAAATGCATAGTTTAAAAAAAATATCTGTGAAAACAAAGAAAAATGGCATACCCTTTCCCCAGGTTTCACTATCAGGAAGGTAATGCAATTATGCAATTCATTGTTGCTGGCAAAGGCAGGCCAGATTCATTGAGTTGTTAATCAGTTAAGAATAAACGCACAAAAATAAATATCATTTAGCAGCTGTTTTGAAATGAGCTCAAAGAATGACTACTTACAATGTGAAGACTTTGTTCCACTCAGGATTGAGATTTTTGTAGACAGTATGTGTTAGCAGCCTATCATTGTTCAGTTCAACCACACAAAATGGGTCACTTTTACCTACAAGAGATATGGAGGGAACATTTTTAGTACAAATTGCACCCACAGTTCACAGTGTCGTGACCGTGACCACATCTCTTTTCTAAAAAGTTTTATAGAAAACAAAAAGTAAAGTAAAATTTTAAAAATTAAAAAGTAACATCAAAATAGAGTTAGATGTAACTGGGTGATGCTAACAATTGTGATTCCGAGCAATTTAGAACTTGAAAAAAGTAAAAGAGGGCAAATTACATGGCTGCTATTTTAATTTGCAATTTTTTTTACAAAAATACTACTATAACTGCTGGTTATGAGGGGAAACGTGATACATATCCATCCCTAAATCAGATTTTATTTAATTCAATGACCTTTGAAAGGTTCAGCCCCTTTATTTTAATGCATGTATTTTCCAACTCATCTGACTCACTAGGAACTTGTAATAGAAATTCCTAAACAAGTTTATTTTGGGAAAACTGTTATATTGCAGAATTACAACATTTTAATCTGACTTTAGATTCTCTTCTGAAATATCTATGGCATCACAAAAAGGTAAATTAGACCCTCTGAGGCAGAAAAAAATTCTGCCATTTGAAACTTAACCTCAGTAACCAATCTGCATGTTAAAGAGCAGTAGTTTTTCTGTCCATGGAGAGTGAAGGATTTGGAAGTTATCATATATTCAGAGCCACTCTACTCAGCCATAGTCAAACCTCATCCATTCGGTAATTATATCTTGTGATGTCCTCAATATTTTTGTAATGTCATGTCCTGTATTGTAAGAACCCATAAAGTCATTGGCTCTATGGGGGCAGCATTAATGATATTAGTGCAGCATGTAATTTGTTTGATACCTTATACAAATGACAATGAAATCAATATTTAGAGAAAGCTGTCCAGAGGTCATATCTTTTAAACTACAATATTGATTTAGACTACATAAGAGGTTAATGTGCATATTATTAACTTTAATGATAAAGAATAATTGTTTTAAATGCATTGTGAATTGTAGTCACAGTAGTTTACACTTCTGTGAAAGCTTAAATATCACTGAAGATTTTCAATTAAATTTTAATAGGAAAGAATCCATTAGCTATCAGTGACAGATAAGCTATGTATTCCCACACAGCAGTGTATTTACTTTCCATATTGTAATTTTGAAAATGAGCTGTACAAACTGTGATTCACCTTTAATTTAATTTATTAATTTTACATTAAAAAAGAGATCTAATATGTGTGTGTTAGTTCAGTGGCCTCCTATAGCCCAGGATGATTGCGTAATTTAACATTATGGCAGTCTTTTCAGTTTTTGGTCTTGGGAATAATTTTCAATAAAGAATAGAGAACTGAAACTCTTTAAGGTCGGGTGAAAATTTTACCTCTGGTTTAGGATCTGTATTTTTCCCCACCTTCTTCAGTCCTCTTGCCCTACCTGTTACCACTCTCATTTACAGCTCACACATGCCATGAAAGGTGGTATTCAAAAAAATTTTTGTTCATTAAAACACGGTGTAATAGGTTTTATTTGCCACATCAACAACTTTATTTTCTCCCAAAGAATTCAGGTACAAGCGTGAAAAATAGATTAGTTTTCAAAAGCTTAGTTATTCTGAAGGCTCATATTAAGCATCTTCTCTCCACATCTAGCTTTGTGCTGGGTACTATGGTATAAACAAAAGAACAGAGCACATAAACTCCAACCTCAAATAGTTTATAAAAGGTTTGGAGAGATAAAGTATATAACAAACATAGGGAAGATTAAAGCCACATTTATGGTAGAATTCATGTCAGAAGAGTATTTTACTTTCACTTTAGATGAAATGATAAGCTTTGGAAACATTTACTTAAAAGACAAGTGTAACTTTCATACTCTTGCTTGGACCTCATTTTAACTTTTCTTATATACATGTACATTCACGTTAATCAGTAAAACGTACCTACAAAAAGATAGCACTTTTCAGTATTTTTGTTGTCATTTTCACTTGCTTTACTTCAATTACTATTCTATTTCAACTGACTTGGTTTTACTTTCCCTCAAATGACCGACAAATGTGTAATAGATTCAGTCAAAACGGTACCACTGCTCCAATAACAAAACACAAGAACAAACTCCAGAGACCGAAATCTATGGTGAAAAAATTTACCTTAAACTTCTACAAACAGAAGATGAAAATCTTTACTTGACTTTTTTCCCCACAGGAAGCATATTCAGTTGTGTAAGACTGAATACAGTTCTTTCAACCAACCCCATGGAAAGTCTCCCAAATCATCACCTTCGTTGCTGTATTTTTAATTTACTGACAGTAGAAGATCTAGAGTCAGTGGTTGGCTAAAGGATCAGAAAGAAACAAAATCTGTACTTAATGTTTAACATTTTTCATATCTTGTTAAGAAACTGACACATTTATCAAACTCCATGCCCACGAGGTAGTGGCAATCCATATTTTCTTACTATTTAACTGATTATTTCTGAAGACCATTCCTAGGGAAAACCAGTATCAGCCATCTGTCATCACATTACTTAATCTCTCAGTTACTCTCCTCTACTAGAAGAAAGATGTTAAAGAACTAGAGGCATTTCCACACCAAAAACAGTGTAGAGCCTTCTAAAGCCACTTCTCAGTCATTTTGCTATTCTAAATTCCAGTGGCATACCATCACTGGCAAAGATATTCTCCTATCAGAACCTATATTATAACTTGGAATGGGTAACCAATATAATTTTTAAGAGACCATGTTAGACATTATGCAGAATATAATGGTGCTTATGTTAAAAAAAAGAGCCTTTTGCCTGAGGTAGATCAAACTGCTATTTAACATGGCTTTAATTCAAGCTGATTTTCTCCAATCTGAAATCTATTATTCTTAACCTGCTTACAGTCATATAAAAGGCTGACTGTGGTCAGTGACATGACCCAATCCATGTAAATGCTGTCATTTTCATTTTTCTGAAAACTTCTTCTCAAGTTTAACACATCTTCTTCTCAAGTTTAACACATCTTTGATGTCTTCTCAGAGCCCATGGGTTAAAATCCACATCTTATGGTATAGAATATAGTCTTTCGTCTCCAATCTCAAGGTCCTTAAGGTCCCTTACTTGAGCTGTATCACACCTTTTGATTCCTCAAATATTCCATATACTTCCAGAGTTCTGGGCAAGGCATTAAAGTTCAAAGCAAAAGCCCAGTGGTCTGGGAAAAAGGGCCTAAACTTTGGAGGCTGAGCAATCTGGGGTTGAATACTCACTCTAGGACCCTGGATCTGTTTCCTCACACATTCAGCAGTGACTGTAATGGTCCCTTGCAGATATAATAGTTAGAATACAAGTAGCAGAATGTCTGGCACACTAGCAAGGGCCTCAATAAATAATAGCAATAATAAGGGCAATAATAGTAGCAATAATAAGGGCAATTACAATACTTATTATTGTCATAATTGCAAATATTTTCTGAGTTTTTATTATAAGCCCAACATTATGTTTTCAAAAAATTTTATGACTACTTTATGAGAAAGATGCTTTTACTATTTCTATTTTACAGAGAGGAAACTGAAGCTGGCAGATTATATAACTCACCAGGTCACACAGGTTGTAGTGAAGCTATTATTCAAACCCAGGTCTATCTGATCTTCAGAGCCCTTGCTCTACCCCTGTGGTCCATGCTCCCTTTAATTAAATCATATTTAAATGTAAGCCACTAGGCAAGACCTTTCCCAATAACTGTGCCTACCTCAGTATTTAGTGGGCCACACCCAAGGAAAGAGCTGGGTAATGTCTTGTCTATAGATACATTCATTCAACAAATATTTATTGTTTACCACGTACCAGGCACATTCTATATGCTGAGGAGACAGACATAAAACAATTAAAAAAAACCCCTGAACTTATGGAGTTTGCATTGAGACATAAAACAATTAAAAAAAACCCCTGAACTTATGGAGTTTGCATTGAGGAAGAAGAAAGACAATGAATAAGAACATTTTATAGTATTTTAGAAGGTGATAAGTACTATGGAGAAAAATTAAGTTGGGAAGGTCAGTGAGGAGATAAGGAGTGCTGGTATATATGAGTAATTTTTAAAAGGGCTGCCAGAGAAGGTCTCAGTGAGAAAGTGACATATGGGCAAAGAAACGCAAGAGGCAAGGGAGTGACTGTTGGTCAGAGAAGTGACTGTGCCTGGTGTTGCTAGGAATATCCAGAAAGTTAGTGTGTCTGGAGGAATAGATTGGGGGTGGGGGGTGAGTATTAGATGGCATAGTTAGAGAGGTACAGGGAGGGTGGCAGGCCTCTGTAGGATTTAGCTTTCACTCGAAGTGCTAGGGCAAGTTTTTGGAGGGATTTGGGTTGAGGTGTGACAGGATCTGATGGCTGCTATTTGGAGAATAAGGTAGAGAGAGGGCAATGGAGGAGACAAGGAGAAGAGTTGGGAGGATATTACAATAACCCAGGTGACGTGGAGTGGCTCGATTCTGGATATATTTTGAAGGTAGAACCAACGGAATTTGCAGATGTCATTATTGAACAATCTATTGTGCCTCATATTATTATTTGGGAATGGAAAACAATTTACTGAGCTTAGCCAAGTCAGTCTTTTTTTGCAAGGTCAAGAAGCATTCAACAAAGTGCTCTGACTAGATATTTCTAGAATCCAGCAGAGGAAAATTTAGGTAAGGAGAGAGGCAATTTTATCTTTAACTTCCATTTTCATCTTTTCCTTCTAAAAAGTTATGTTTTTACAGTTATCAGTGTGGATGCCAACTTTAGTTCTTTGCACACTATGTTCTTTTTGACTAATTTAAAAAGAATCCTCCTGCCACTAAAGGCATTAAATGCATTAAAGGGCAATTAAAAATTAACAGCAATTTCAGCCAAAATAACAGTAAACAGACAATATCAAATACTATAAACTTACTACTAGAAAGCACACACTAGACTTTCATTTTAAAGAAGTGGCTACACATAGTTAATGTGTTTATCTGGTTTGCTAAATGATGCTTTAAATGACTGGCTTTTCAGTTCCTAAATT